CTCAGGAACGAACAAAATATTCTTACACGTATAACAACAGAAGGAGTAAAAAAAATAGACAGATCCGAAATTTTTTGACAATATATTAAAAAAAAAAAATTAATGTTTCGATTAATGTTGCTTTCTTTATTGTTTTGATAAATTTTGCAAAAGTAATTATACTCTAATTAATTACACATTATGTATATTTTTCTAAGTACATAAATATTCGCGCACGTGTTTTTATTATTGATATAAACGTGATTTTTAGTGAGTATAAGTGTCACTATACGTTAATTTTTTTATTTCAATTTGCAAGCCCAAATACACATACCCTCTAAAAATCATGTTTATAGTAAAGATAAATATATATGTATGTGTGTGTGTTCTTTATACGTTATTTTTATAGATACAAATATCTAAGTAAATATTAAGTAAGTTTATAATAAACGATTCTAACGACATTTCATAGAAAATGTGTCCTCCGACATCATATCAATAATAAACATTATAATCATGAGGAATTTGTAGTTGGAAGCAGAAATTCAACCTTGCTAACCAGACGCTTTCTGGCACGTATAGCACGTCAGGCTATATGACGGTTCAGTGTAGGATACGGGTTCGATTCCTGTAGGACACATATTTTCTATGAAATTTCCCAGATATTCAAGACTTAAATATTTGTATAGATAATAAATATATTAAAATAATTGTCGGTCTTAGTCCATATCATAATATATACATATCAGTGTGTGTTTAACATAGAACTCGACTTAAATGAACATTTTTGTATACAGGGGACTGCAAAAGTAGGTATACAGTAAGCATTATACCAGTATTTTAATAGTAGTTCAAGGATTCATTTAATACTAGAATTTATTTAATTCATTCAAATCATTTTTAATATTTTTATTTTCATAATTTTTATTATAATACTTTTATTACCATTTTTTTATTTTTTATCACCTGTCTATATTTTTGAAATGAAGTATTTTTACTATTTGAACTAATTACTTTGTTCAGACTGTGATTCTCATCTTTATTGTCATATTCACGATGTTTCGAACGTTTTACGCCGCGGCCTTCTTACGTGAGACTTTCGAACCGAACCCTTTATTTAGTCCACTGGAGGAGATTGTTTTACTTCCTTTCCTGGATATCTCTGTTCAAGTTAATTCCCTTTAATATCTCAGCTCTCCACGTTTTTCTTCAGCTCGGCAGTGGCCAGATATTGAACTCAAATCTCTTTCGTTTACTTCAACCAACGCCTTTTATCCACTGGCCAATGTGAATGATTTTGGGGGGCTTATAGACCTAATCTCTCAATATCATTTTTTACCAGAGCTCATATTCTCTAGCACTCTGTATTACTGGTGCCCATTTCGTATTCATTTCTATGCTTGGCCGTCTTAGACGATTTTTGTGGCCAAGCTGATTCCTTAAGATATCGTATTTTCAATAGATGTAATAGATAGAAATCTATTATTTCAACCTCATCCCACAGGGCGTAGTGATCTCCTTTTTTCCTCCGTATATGATCAGCCACGGCTGATTTATCTTTTTCTTCTAATTTTTAATAAACAATAATAATAATAATAATAATAATAAAAATGTGGCACTATTTTTTTATCAACAATCCCTTTGCTCATATAAGAACCAGCCCTTGGATTGGTTGGAAAAGATTCAAAAAGACTAATTGACGGGACTCCTAGAATATTTTTGCTTCAAAAGAAATATTAAAATTGTTATTACAAATTTTCCTCACTTTACGAAGGGCTTTATCTATGTAATTTTAATTTTTTTTTTTGTCAGTGGAAAGTGTCATGATGCCATTTCTAACCTTAAGACCTGGAAAGAAATGTGTACCTGGAAAGAAATGTGTTTTTCATTATTTTATACCTACATATGTCTCGCTCTCTATATGAAGTACTTATCAGGGTGCTGTAGAAATATCCCTCGTATATATCTTCCAGATATATCTCTTTCATATTGATAAGACATTAGCTAGATGAAGACCTCATGGCTACTAATCTCTTACCATTATGGAGGAAATATTTTTGTCGCACTCTGTATAATGCAATTATAATCATCTTGTTGGTTTTTTTTGCCAAAAAAAAAAAAAAAATACTGAAAACGATTGTGTTGAACCATTCTTACTTTTGAAGTGGGCCTACCTATTTTTTTTTTTGAAAAAACAGAATTTGTTCAAAGTTCGAACACCGACCGACTAATGCAAACTATGACAATCTTCCTTAACCAAAAAGCAGGTAAGCAGACATTTTTAATGACGTTTCTTCAGCATGGATCTCGGGAGATTTATTTTCCTTTTCTTCCCCCACCCCTCATCTGTGACTGGCAAACTTGGAAATTCAGTCCCTCAAAAAAAACGAAGTGTCAAAAAGACTGTTTTTCCATTGACACCACTATTATTATAACTGTCTTCACTCCTCAGTCACGTATATTTAAAAAAAAAAACACGATTAGAATTGTAATAAAAACTAAATATAAGATGAAAGTGAATTTATGCATTTTCTTTGAGAATTGACAACGAAAATAATAAACAATATTGGCTTATGAGATTACTTATTTAAACTACTTATTATATTGTTTATTGGAATGGTTGGTAAAACATCGGCTAATTGCCAAAGGATTCGAACTGTATAAAATGGTAAATAATAGAGATTTCCTTATAGTTGTTTCACATATTTTAATAATTTAGTAAATGTTTATAAATTACGAAAAATAATTCATATTTATTTCGTTATATATTGTTAAACGATAAATATTGCATTGCATTAGTTTTTAGAATGCTGTAAATATAAAATTCTTCTTGTAAATAAACAATTTAATTAATAAATAGTGTTTAATATTTTTTCTGTAAATTTTCAAGGATTAAAAAATATATAAATTCAATTTCATCATCACTTTTACAAACAGTAAACAATGCTGCGGTGTGAAGGTCAATATGCCACACGCTTAGGCGATCAAGTATTTTTCGATACATGACTGACGAAGCAAAAACATTCCTTTTGAGATTAAGTTTTTATTTTTTTTTTTTTTTTGCGGTAAACCAGTTGCCATCCAAGTCTATAGAACCCAGTCTCTCCTGCCATTTACATATAGCTTATGAGAAAAATAGGATTCATAATTTTTCCCAAGGGTATTAACAAGTAAGGGAATGTAATAGATTCGTCCATCCGAGCCACTATCCATTACTTCACCGTGTCTCGTGGGAAGGTAGTTAAAATAATAGTAGTGTCATCGGAAAAACCGGCCAATTTTGTCCAGTGATTATTCTTGTGAAAGATGGTGCATTGGTTTCCCTTTGCTTTCTGCAAGGTTTTTGATTTCAGAGGGTTTTTTTTAAAAATACTCATAGAGGGTTAATGTGTGGCGTTGGAGTAACATAAAAAGCAAGATACCAAAAAAGTTACACATAGTTCTAGAATTGGAGGTCAAGATTTAATTAGCGAATCAAGTTACAAAGTTCAGTAGGAGACGTTAGAAGTATAGAGTTGAAGTAGACTTTCGAAGGGACCGGAAACGTAATCCTGAACAGGAAACAAGGGATAAACCTCTACTCCTGTACAAAAAACCGAGGAGGGGTGTAAACAAAACGATACGCAAATCTGTCAACCTAAGACTAAACAGTTTACTTTGTGATTTAACCACTAGCTAGGGTGGAGGGAAAGACAGATTCATGCCTTTCCCAAGGACATTTCTGTGAAAGTGAGCACCGTTACTTAAAATAACTTAAAATATTAATGAACATTAGTTTTATGAAGGGGGGGGTGTTCACTTATTCTTCTCTCGATTTTTAAAAATTTCGCGCAAAATTTTTCTTCGTTTTTTTTTTTTCTTTTTTTAACATTTTCCATATTATTATTTATTGGGAAAATATTTAAATGGAGATTGGATTATTTAAGTAGGAAACCTTATTTCATGTCAATTCAGTTTCAGTAATGCAGTGATATATTCTATGAACATTGAACACAGTTTTAAATATTCTCCCGATATATGGTGAAAAGATGGACACACACGTATTAACATCCCGCCTCGTGAAGTGCCAGAGAAGTTTCAGCTTTCAGATGTGCAATTAATCATGTACAAATACGCGTATAAGCGTTGTGTCACCAGAAAAATATGTGTAATTATCAGCATATAGAAATATATGTGAATAATGCTTAAAAATATTGTAAGAACTTTATACATACGAGGAGATAACTGTGTCACAATTTTTTTGTTAGGGGGAGGCTAATTTATGCAGAGCGCTACCGGTTCCTCATATAATGGGTCTCATCTGAATACCTGGTTTATGTATTTTTAGTAATCCGTAGATTATGGGTAATCCGATTAGATACGTTATATACAGTCAGTTATGTACAATGCATAAGAGATCATGTATCTTTCGATACATGACTGAAGAGGCAGATTTTTTCCCCCTGTAGTAGATTGCCATTTCTTTCTGCAGTAGATCAGTTGCCATCCAAGGCTATAGAACCCGGTCTTTCCTGCTATTTCCACATAACTGGAGAGGGATAAGATGGTTCATACCTTTCTCAAGGGTATAAGTACGTAAGCGAATGTAATGGATTCGACTGGAATTCGAACTCTGAACAAATTCCTCCGATGCCGTTGAATAAATAAACCGTATAAACCTCCATTATATTACGAATAATAAAAAATGCCCTACATATATATATATATATTCATTTAAAAAACAATGATATCTACCATCCATTTTCTACTATAGTATGATATCTACTATTCATTTTCTGCTATAGTATGATATCTTTTAATTCATTTTGACTAAATTATGATATTAACCAACTGTTGGAAGCATGAAATATACTAGGTATTGGATCAAAAAGTTAGGATTAAAATTGTTAGGGCTGGAGTTAGGGTTTGGGTTAGGTGTTTCAAAAATAGTTTAGGATTAAAGGGTTGCAGTTAAAATTTTGAACACTGAACTGGTTGTGTAATAAAAATAATTAACAATTTCTTATACAAATTTCTTTAAA